CGGAGAACAGAATGTAGCAAATCATCAAGAAGATTATATACCATGATCAAGTGGGATGCATCCTTGGGCTGCAGGAACATTTCAATATGCATAAATCAATAAATGTAATGCATCATATTTAGAGAGCCAAGGACAAAAACCACATGATCATCTCCTTAGATGCAGAAAAAGTTTTTTACAAAGTCCTACACTCATCCATGATAAAACCTTACAGAAAATTGGAATAGATGGTTTTTTATCTCCATCTGATAGAAGCCATGTTTGACAATCAGTGGCCAACATCATACTAAATGAACAAAAACTGAAAGTTTTTGCTCTAAAATCAGGAACAAGACAAAAATGAACACCATCACCCCTCTTATTTAATATAGTTCTGGAAACATTAGCCAGAGGAATTAGACAAGAGAAAGAAATAAAAGGCATAAGAATAAAAAAAGAAGAACTTAAATTATCATTATTGTGAACGACATATTACTCTACATAGAAGACCCCAAAAACTGCACCAAAAGACTGCTAAATTTAATAAGAAAATTTAGTACTAGAGTTGGATACAAAATCAGCACTCAAAAATCAATAGCCTTCCTATATCAGAATAGCAAACTCACTAAGAGAGAAATTAGGGAAACAATACCTTACACAATAGCACCCCCCAAAAAAAGTGAAATATCTAGGAATCAATATAATGAAAGAAGTAAAAGACCTCTACATTGAAGACTGCAGTATTTTGAAAATGGAGATTGAAGAGAATACCAGAAAATGGAATGATATCCCCTGCCTTTGGGTAGGAAGAATCAATATAGTGAATCAATATAGTGAAAATAGCCATACTTCCAAAACTGTCATACATATTCTGATCAAAATTCCAACTGCATATCTCACAGAATTAGAGAAAACAATCCTAAAATCCATTTGGAACCAGAATAGACCTAGAATAGCAAAGGCTTTTCTTGGCAACAAAAGCAAGGTAGGGGGCATCACAATTCTAAACTTGAAATTATACTACAAAGTTACTATGATAAAAACAGCACAGTACTGGAAAAAACAAAACAAGAACAAGAACAACAGAAAAAAGAGATCTGAGGGCCTACCAGACAGCTCAGCTGACTAAATTGCCTTCTTAGGCAGAGTGCAGCAGCTGGATTCGATCCCAGCATGCCGTGCTGGCCCCGCCTCTGGGGCGTGCTGAGAAGGTGACTGAGACTGAACGTGGTGGTGTGCACCTGTAATCCCAGCACTTGAGAGGCTGAAAACAGGAGAATCACTAAGAGTTTCATCTATGTAGTGAGACCCTGTAGAACCTATAGAACTTATACTAAATACATTTAAAAAAGGAAAAAAGAAAAAAGAGATCTGATGAACAATGGAAGAGATTAGAACATGTGGAAATAATTCCAGACATACTTACCTACCTTATCTTTGACAAAGATGCAAATATTCTTACTGGAAGAAAGATAGCCTCTTTAATAAATGGTGCTGGAAAAACTAGCTGTCCACATGCTGAAAATTAAAACTGAATAATGCATGTCCTTCACTATGCACTGAACTAAAATTGAAGTTGATCAAAGATGTAAATATTAAAACAGAAACATTAAATACACTGGAAGACAGAATAAGTAAAGCTCTTGATGACACTGGGGTAGGTAAAGATTTTATGAATAAAACCCTCATTGCACAGAAACTATCACAAAGCATCGACAATTGGGATCTCATCTTATTAAAAGTATTTTTCCCCATAATTTTATTGAGAAACAAATAGCAATGAGACTGTTTCAAATCAAATTG